TCCATGGGAATTACACAAATGGTTCTTCTGTCAAAGTCCCTCCTTCCAGTTCATCTGTCACCAGCCTTCTTCTCTCCCTTGACATTCATGTCTTTGGCTAGCTCCCTGATAGCCACACTGCCTGGTTTGATAAATCAGTTCTCCAACCCTCATGTCTTTCCCTATGTTCCAGCTACACTGGTGTCTCACAGCTAGCTAACTTCTGTGCATTGCATGACCCGGTCTCTGTCCCTACGTTCCCTTAGTCCCCAAGTGGGCCTCTCTGCCCACTTATCTTCCAAGGTCCCCAGCATCTTCACTGTAGAAGCCTCCAAGGGAAGCCTTCTTGACTACCTGCCCACTCCTCTGTGCTCCCACCCCCACTTCCACTTATAGCCACAGCAATCATCCCTGAGTACCGCAAAGATCTTAGTGCTTCAAAATGGAATGCAATCCTTTTAAAGATAATGTACTTCTTTGTTATCCTTTACAAAAGCAAAACACCATCTAAGAAATTGGCTCATCACATCAAGATGGAATAAAAACTACACTATGTATTAAAAAATCTGAGACAGGAGGACCACTTTAGTTATTCTACAAAATTTGCCAAAACTGATTAAAGTATTAATATGTGGATCTATTACTATAGTCTCTTACCTATAGATCTTAACTATAGTCTCTTACCGTGGTTACAATACAGTTTTCAACTTCTACTTTAACTGCAAAATACAAGTTGAAATTCTGATAGCTTGATACACAGACATATACAAAGTGTGACAAAAAATATGGTCAGTTTAAATATTTTTAAAAAATTATTGCAGTACAAGATACTTTGCCATTAACCCATCTCAAAACACTCCCTCTCACTCCAAACATACTTATCCCATCATTCCTGCCACTTTCTGAGGCAGTTCTGGAGTTCTCTTTTCTGAGTATCTTTAATTGTACTGCTATTGCCTCAGTGTCCTGAATTGATTCGAAATGTTCACCTTTTATGATCATTTTGATTTTGGGGATGAGCAGAAGTCATACAGTACCAGATCCAGTGAAATAAGTGTGTGTGAAGTGGGTGGGGAGGCATTTTGAAAGCCAATAAAGGCAATGTGTCTTTTATCATAAGTTTTTAAAATTTAACTTCATTGTATTTTTCAACTACCCTTTGTACAACATCTTCAATTGCATTATAACTTTTAGCAATTTCATTTGGTTGCAGTTTTCAAGATTAATGAAAAACAGATAATTATGGACAGATAGTACTTTCTTTCAGACACACATTAAGATAAACCTAAAACAATGGACTTCCTGATGTAACATAAAAGCCCTGTTTATGCAAAATATAACCTTCATGCCAGACAAATCGTTTTAATACATGATTGAGAACACTGCCCACTATTGTTCACAGAAATGGAAATTATCTTGCACTTGAATAAGGAAGTAGAAGTACACAGAAAACATGCCCATCTCACAAAAGCTTACCAGTTACCGAATTTAATGGGAAGAAGAGACAGAGGATAAAGGATCAAGGAGTCTTGGGAAAACTGAGTGATATCTTTAAACACCTTTCCTACAACCAGAAAGTGATTCAAACTCAATAAAAAAAAAAAAAACACACAACAAAACAAAACAAAAAAATCACTAAGAAAAACCTCTAGCAAGTTTTAGCTACAAACAGACTTACAGTATGTATGAAGCCCCAACAACTGCTCATTACTCTGCTGGTCCATATCCTCTGAAGAACCAGCAAGGCTTCCCCCAGGAAGACTGATCACTCTCAGAGAGCCTGCAGGACACCTCTCCAACCCCTCAGTTTGGAGCAAAAAGTTGGAAAATGAGCAACCACCACACATAAAATATGAACTGCAGATCACTGATCACCAGCACCCATGCAGCGCTCCCCTGTGCCTGGCCCCACACAAGACTGTCCCAACATTCTGGCTATCTAATCCTCACAGCAGCCCTGCACAGTGAGCAATCACTGCATTTTCTTTCCTTTTCTTCTTTTTTTTGTCTTTCTGACACAGGGTTTCATTATGCCATTCAGGCTGGCCTTGAGCTCACTTTGTAGCCCAGGCTGGCCTCAAACTCTCAGTGATTCTCCTGCCTCAGCCTCCCAAGTGCTGGGATTACAGACATGCGACATCACCCAACAATCACTGCATTTTCACAAGGAGCTGAAGGTAAGAGCTGAGTGTAAGGCCCAAATCACACAGACTACAAGGGACACCCAAGACACAAACCCCAGTATTGAAGTCAGTCCCTTAACAGTGTCCCAAGACAAATGATTCTAGGAGCTCAGAGTTGGAACCCATTTTTTTCTGCTGATGACACAGGGAGGCCATGCTTTGGATCTGTTTCCTCAACTTTAGCTACCTTTCCCTTCAGTTCCTTTCCTGAGTTTGTCCAACTCTCATTTCCTAAATTCCCTTTTTTATGTCCATTTCTATTCTGAGGCAGTTCTGGAGTGCTCTTTTCTGAGTATCTTTAATTGTACTGCTATTGCCTCAGTGTCCTGAATTGATTCAAAATGTTCACCTTTTATGATCATTTTGATTTTGGCCTCAACCCACTTGGGTTAATTGAATTTCAGGTTAAATATCTTCAAATACTTGTTTACAGAGATTTAGCTCGGGGTGGTGGTACACATCTGTAATCCCACCACTCTAGGAGGCAGGGGCAGGAAGGTCATAAATTTGAGCCCAGCCTGGGGAAGTTAGTGAGACCCCCACCTCAAAATAATAACAAAAGGGCTGGGAATGTAGCAAAGTTCAAAGACCCGGGTTCAACCTCCAGTACCACAAAAAAATTATGCATATATATATATATATATTCAACTAGTGATAGAGTATTATATCACTATTTTCTGCTGACCCAAAAACTTATGAGAGCTTTCTATAGACATTACCTGCTGTTTCAGTTCATTTTTAAATGTCTTGGATTTTCGTGGGCAGCAACAACAGATGATCCTAGAGAAGGAGGGAGGCACCTGGGTATTTCACCAGGTTTCTGAGTTATGTACACAAAGTGAAGTGCACTTTCTTTTATAAGTGCAGGAGAAAGGAGTAAGGAATTATCCTGACTTGGGGGTGGTCTTTGTTTCTGGGACCCTTAACTTCCTCTGCTTTGTCCTTTTCCTTTACCGCCAAGTTTCTGGGAAATGCCTCCTCCATTTTCCCAGAAGCAGCACCGTCCAGCACTGGCCCCTCTGGGCCCACACACTTTCAGGATCAGGCACGCTGCGTTCATTGTTCATTCTCCTGGGGATTCATCCCAGGGCCTTTTCTCTGAGCTACATCCTCAGCCCTTTTTAATTTTTTTGTTTTTTTAAATTTCAAAATAGGGTTTCAATAAGTAGCTAAGTTGCCCAAGCTGGACTGGAACTTGCAATCTTCCTGCCTCAGCCTGTTAGAGTGCTAGGTTATAGGTATGTACCACCACACCTGCTAGATCCCTTCCTTTCAATTCCCCATGTCTACCAGGTCTCAGGCCTCCTTTCTCCAGAGGTGGCTTTGTCTGCATTCTGCCACCAGCTCAGCAACACGGCCTCCATCAGACTCTGGGTTCTAGTAGCAACCTCAGAGCTGGCTCCAATGGCATTTACATTCCCACTTGGGTTAAAGTTTGTAGTACTGAGTCTCATTATACTAATTATAATTATACTAGAGGCCTGCACTGTATGTGTTTTTATTTGCTTTCTTGGTTGATCATTTAGTACCTAGAGAATGTATAGAAAGACTTAGATTCAGATGCCTACCGATATCCTCCTCACCTGCAAAATAAAACTTCCATACGGAGCTCAAACACTGTGATTCTCTACCAGTGATTCTGAGAACACAGATTCTCACTTAACTACAGATTTCCAAAAATAAAAATGGTGATCTGAAATGCTTTTCAGTACTTTATCAGAAACTAATAGGTATTACACAGCCTCTGTAAAAAAAAACTCAAGAAATGCCTTACCTGGAGCACCGTAGAACAGAGATCTAACAGTGAAAACGTTAACAGACACTGACTAGAAAATGGTATAATTCTCTCTGTCTCTCTCTCCCGTTCCCTCTTTTACATATACATATATATAGGTATAAAGAGATATGTATAGATATATACACACACACATATTCTTGCTTCTAGAAGAATATGTATTAAGTTCACCATTTCTCTAAAAAGCAACGAATTCATCTAATAAAAATATGTGACATCACCCCAAATTTAATAGACTATTATGCATACAGTCACACTGGTGTGACTTTCCAGCAAGTTATCACTGACATCCTTTCATTCTTTGGAGCTAAATTAAACAGTAAAATGAAAACATGCACTTCTTGTGTATCTATAAAATGGACCAGCTAATTAATTTGTATTATGCTTAAACTTATTTTTTTATGCATAGCTTGGAAATGGAAATTTTTAAAAGCCCTAATGACTGTATTCTTTTCAAGATACAATCGTTCAACACAACTCACTAACAGCTTCAAGGTAGTTTCTTCTTTATTTTAAAAAAACCCAGATTCATTTCAATGATTCAGGAATTATACCAATGAGCATATCACACTCATTAAAAAAATGAATAAAGAATAAACACCGGGATTGCAGAAGTAGCTCGGTGGAGCGGAGGGGGTGACTGCCTTGTGTGTCTAGTCCCTGGATTGGATGCCAGCACCACAATACAAAGAAGAAAAAAAAAACTGTGAAACATATAATGCATAAAATTTATTTTTAAAACAGGCTGCACTGAAAGTGTTGAGATTAATTTTTAAAACTTTGCATCACTTTTTCCAGTGTCCACACACTTCAAGTTAAAATATTATTCAAGTTGATGTGAAAACTTTTTCTTCCTTTTCCTGTTTAGTTTTAAAGCTAATCCATTTATCAATGGCATGCTCCTCCCCAGGGCTCCACTTTATGGTCCACTTTACCCACCCTGCTGGCCCCTGGGAGTGTTGTACTTGATCAAGCAAAGCGAGCTCAAAACAGGATCACAGTTGGTGACAAATCTGAAGGCTCCTGAATCACCACCACCTTACCTCAGATTCATCTGTAGATTCTTCAACAGACCCAGTTTCCTGCAAAGCATAGACAGGGAAATAGTCAGAAGACAGACAAAAGAATAAAAAAATACTTGCAAGAGCAAAGAGTTCCTGTGTCTCTGCCACTCGCCCCTGCCGCTCTCTCAGAAAGGCATTTGCAGCTGTACTTTCAGAGGACACCACAGAACCAGGATGGGTGGGACTGGTTACAGGGAGTCAGCAGGTGAACAAATTACATTAGGAACTTGTCTCCTGGGGACCTGGCAGATTCTTTTCCCACCTTACGGGACCTGGCAGATTCTTTTCCCACCTTACATTAGGAACTTGTCTCCTGGGGACCTGGCAGATTCTTTTCCCACCTTACGGTGCAAATCCATCTGGCAAAGCAGCCTCACTGATGTTAGAGGGGAAGAGAAGCTGTCATCTGAAATGATCTACAAACCAACTTTCATCCTGAAAAACTCTGTTGCTATTCATTACTATGCTATCAATCTGCTGGAGTCAAAATGACTGGCTTGCAAACACAGTTTTTTTAGAAAGAACCCTCCTGCTGTTTGAGCCCTTGCTCAAACAGGCTGTGTAATTTACATGTTCTCTTTAAGCCATTAACTCTAAGACAAACCACCTAATCCAGCTTCCCTCTTGCTAGACCATGAATCTTCCTGCTCAGGAAGAAACAAAGCAAAAGGGGAAAAATGGACTTGATCCTGCTCATCTCTCACCTGTCCACTGGAAGAGAGAATCTGCTGATGCCATGCACCCTCAAAGAGGTCAGCAAAATGAAGATTTACTTAACGTACTTATAGATATCAATAGCAATAAAAGGTTACAACTAATATGCTGACACTGAATGTAAGCATTTTACAACAGTCTACGAGATAAAGAAAGAACAACAACAAAAAAGATGGGGCAAGGACATTTCAGCTCTAATATTTTTTTCCAGAAAAAAAATGACATCTTAAAGTCAGATCAATGAATGTGTAAGTTTCAAAAAAATTATTATAGTAAAAGACATTACCATTAACTCCCCCTCAAAAACTCAAAACATTCCCTGCACTTTGAACACACCCTATCACTCCTAGCAATGGGTCTTTAACTGTAATTAGTATTTTTTTAATGTAAATCCTCACCTATTTTCCATCACCCCATGTATAAACTACTCAGTTCTAGCTGCAAAGCATGATAAATGCAAATCTGGCATTTAAAAACAGTTTTCATACATCAAAAATCAAGAAGAGTTTGACAAGTGGTAGGCACCTAGTAATACAGTCCTTGTACCCAAAAACTATCTATAAAATGGACGTGTCACTTCTAATTTAGAATTTTTATTACAGTTAGGTCATTAACCATGATAAGTATTAGAATTTCTTCTATATACCAATGTAGACTAGTTAATATTGATCTAAGTCTTAGTTCTCAATTAGTTCGTAGTCACAATCCTCCACAATAACTGTGTTATTATAACCACCAAGACAAACTAAACAAACCATTCTACCACTTGATAACTTTCCAGATAAAGATAACTATCATTCCTACCATGCTAAACTGTTTCTCCTCTACACTCCATCCAGTTCTTAGTTTTAGTCTTTTTTCCATCTTGGTCCTCCTCTTTTGGATACATTATATTTTTAAAATTAATAGCCCACTAATCTAACAGAATGGAGAGGGAATTACTTTTCCACAAGGGCACCATGAAGACAATGGTGAAAGGGTAGTGTCTTCACTATCAGTGTTGGGAAATTTGCTTGAATTTCTTCAGGCAAAAGAATGAAATGGGACCCTATTTTATACCATCCACAAAAATCAATTCAAAATAGATAAATGATGTAAAGATAAGATCTCAGCCATAAAACTCATAGAAGGGAACACAGGGAAAAGGTCTTTGACGTTGGTCTTGGCGATGACTTCTTGGATATTACACCAAAACCTCAGGATACAAATCCAAAAATAAAAAATGGGACGACCTCAAACTAAAAATCTTGTGCACAGTAAAAAAAAAAATAATAATAATAATAAAAAAGGCAAACTATGAGATGGGGAAGACATACTTGTAGAACATATATCTAATAAAGGGTCATTACTCAAGATTTATAAAGAACCCATACAACTCAACAGCAAGAAAACACATAATCCAATTAAAAAGAGGACCTGAATAGACATTTCTCCAAAGATATAAAAATGGCCAACAGGTATATGAAAAGGTGCTCAAAGCACCAATGATAAAGAAAGTGAGCATCAAAACCACTGAGATATCATCTTGCACCTATATTAGAATGGCTACTACCAGTAGAAAAGACAACAACTGGTTGCCAAGCACGCTCAAGGCCCTGGGTTCAACGCCTAGTACTGATCAAAAAAAAGATCACCAGTGCTGGCAAGCATGTTGAGTAAAGGGAACTTTTATATACTGCTAGTGAAATTGGAGATTGGTGTAGCCATTATGGAAAGCAGTACCAACCCTCCCCGCGCCCCCCACTCTCAGAGAAATAAGCCTTTAAAAAGGAGATCCTGCCATTTGCCACAGCATAGATGAACCTTGGGAACATTATGCTAAGTGAAATAAGCACAGAAAAATATCACTGCACTTATATATGGAATATTAAGGAAAACAAAGTCTAATACACAGAGATAGAGGCTAAAACAAGTGGTTGCCGGGAGAAGGGAAGTTTGGAAATGGGGAAATACAGGTCAAAGGGTACAAAACAGCAGAAACGCAGGATGAAAACGTCTAAAGATCTAATGCACAACATGATGGCTACAGCTAATAATCTACTGGATTCTTGCCCATTGGGTAGTTTAACATGCTCTTGCTTCAAGAGGGAACAGGTTAACTATGAGATAGAATGGATATGTTTATTTGTTCCACTGTAATAACCACTGTTCTATATTTATAAGTATATATATATATATATCTCCTAACATCATAGTATATACCTTAACTACATGATAAATTTTATTTTTAAAAATGTTACTATTTTGACTTTGTTACCAAACATGTATTATATATTGCTCCTAGGTGCTTTACCCACGTGTATGTCTGTACCATAGCATCTTGAACTTTTTTAAGGCACCCTGAGGTCAAAACAGTGAGGTGAGAGGTTGAACTTAAGGACTTCTAATATCTCCCATTGCCAAGAATCCCTGAATACTAAGTTATTAGTACTAGCAAAAGAAGACTGACAACTATGCCAATAAACTACATCTAGATTCCTATTTCCCATATCTAGAATTCTAAAAGAATACTTGACTACTCTTTTCAGAAAAATAATATTAAACGTACAGAAAATGTTTTTATTTGGAATCCATTCAAATACGCACAAAGATAAATGGGTATTCTTCATTAAAACAAAACAAACCAAAACCCCCATAAATCCCCAAACAGCAATGTTAATCCCAAAATTTAAAATCAAATTACACTATTGCTCCACACCAGGAAAGAAATGTAGTGCCCAAATCTGATATCTTGAGGCTCACAGATGCCAGAGAGCTGAGTTTGTAGGGAAAACCAGGTTCTGAGAAGAGCTTCCTATGGCTGCTTCCTGTGGCTGGCATCAATCAAGAACAGCTATTCCAGGACCCCTTGTCCTACCCTCAGCACTGGCACAAACCTCCTGGACATCAATGTTGTCTACACTTTGTCCACAATCCTACCAAAGCAATACACAAGTGACTTCAGGAATTAGTCCGGTCCATTATGTTTTAGCTTCATGTGGTCACCAAATCCCTCTCCTTGATATTCTACAGACAAAGATGAACAAGAAGGCATAAATATCCCCAGCAAGGGATCCAAGAAACAAGACTGAACCTCTAGGAAGGTTATCATTTAGAAAGAATCTGGATTTTCAAACATTTTTTAGGTTCAAAGAATCTTAACTTTGAGTCATGAAAAATAAGTTTAAAAACTGTAGTTTTCTAAATGAAATAAGCCAGACACAAAAAAGTAAATATTATACAACTCCACACATACAAGACAGACACACAATACAGGTTATCAGTGAGAAGGGGGAGACTACTAATAATCACCCACAGCTAACCAACCCAGATGAAGGTAAGAGGAAACACTTTCAAAGGAATCAGCAAGTCCAGCTAAGCTAATTTGTGGTGATGTTTTAGCTCCTCAATGAAAAACAGGACTCTAGAAAAATCTGATCTGTGCTTTTGCAACCTCTTGTTTGAGCCTCATTTTCCCCTTAATTACTGGCAATCTTACTTTTAAAAGATATGTCTCATCTGGCACACACCTGTAATCCCAGCATTTAGGAGGTTGAAGTAGGAAGATCGTTATGAGTCTGAGGCCAGTGTGGGCTACAAAGTGAGCTCAAGGCCAGCCTGAACTGCATAGCGAGACCCTGTCTCAAAACGACAAAAAAAAAAAAAAATTATGTCTCATAAGAAAATAGAACTGTGCATGTATAAACCAAGTCCTGGTTTAGATCATTACCCTTTGTCCTATTTATAAGATAACCATTTCAACCTAACCACTTTCATATACTTTACCTCATTTCATATTCCAAGAGTCCTAGTATAATTCCCAATTTACAGGCAGGAAGTTTATTTCATGCACATGGAGCCATTATGCATGATCATGGACTGTGCCATCTGACAGTCTCTAAATGTTCTACGGTATGGATGGAATTTCCTTAGTTTCTAAAGTATAGGGAGAGAATTCAAAATAGAGAGTCTCCCATTTGATCAAAGACGGTCAGATTGCACAATCACTTTAATAGACCAGGATCCAGTTTGGTTGAATATGGAAGATAAAATATATCTAGAGCTGGCAGGAATATGGAATGAAGAGAATGTTAGCTGCACACGGTTGCACAGAGGTACAATCCCAGCACTCAGGGAGGTTGAGGCAGAACTTCAAGTTCCAGCCCAGCCTACGCAACTTAGCATAAACAGTGAGATCTTGCCTCAAAATTTGGAAAAAAAAAATATTTTTAAAAAGGACTGAAGATGTAGCTCAGTGTGAAAGCCCTGGGTTCAATCCTCAGTACGATGGTGATGAGGGAGGCATGTGCAGAGATATAAAGAATGTAATCAACATTTCAATTAATTTGAAATGTATTCCAATGTCTCAAGTCAAATAATTCCACACAAACTCTACTGAACCTAGTTTACAATTCAACAACTGAAAAAGCTATCCTCCCACTAACAGATGCACTCAGGTATTATATCATTAAACACCTAGACCTAGCACCAGCCCTTTTGGAGATACAGACATGAGTAAGCGCTCACTCTTATTCTTGAGGACTCAGCAATCTGTGGGCAACATAAGACAGATACACAAACAACAGGCTTCGAACAGCACGTTCCTCATAAAAGGGGGATGGACAAACACTGGTGGGCATCTGTAATGATGAAGGGCAACTATAAATCGTCTTGGAGCTAAGTAAAACTGCTGGTTAGAAGATTTCCAGGCAGAATGCAGGGTATTAGCTCTTTCAGTGAGCTATAAAATATAAATGTACTCACTTTTTTGTGAACTACCTTTACTATATTCGTCAAAGGCAAGGATTTCCCAAAGAGTTAAAAATACCTGAGTACTCATATCCAAAAAATGACTTTAACGAAAAGTTTTTTAGTTTTATAGTATATTAACTACCTCAGAGAGGACATCACTATTTTGACTAAGTTAAAATTAAAGGGCATGGGTCCAACACAAAATAACACAACACTTAGGACAAATAATGCTGAGCAGTTCAACTTTGTTTCTTGTCCTGGAAGGCTGTCTGCATTTCCAAGACGCAAAGCCAAGAAAAATTCCTTCCTTTGCCCTCATCCATAACATCTCAGTACTCCATTTAATACACTTCTCAATTCCTGAAGCATTCAGAGGAAGGGAAGGAAAAAACTTAGGTCATCATTTCCAAACATGTTCAAGGCAGCAGAGAAGAATAATTAGCAAATCTATTCCATTTCTGCATACTTTAGCTTTCAAAAAAACTATAATAAAGGCCTACTATCAAAGTGAATGGCTTCCTACTGTGAAATGCAAAACGCACCAACCAAGCAGAGAGAGAAAAGCCTAAGCATTTTTGAAGCACTCATAATACTGGCACAATTATTCTCTAGTTTTCCTTAAACAAACAGAACAGTTCGTGAATGTTTGCTTCTGACAATATGCTATGGTCTTTTCAAGGAAGACTCTCATGTCACGGGGGGTGGTGAGCCCACTCCAACTGTATACTGGCTGCTAAAGGATCCCAGGTGAAAGAACGGGTTGAAGGGCTTATAGTTTGGATATGAAATGTCCCCAAAGGCTCAGATATTGAAGGCTGGGTCTCCAGTGCAGGGGTGTTTCAGAGATGGAGCTTTTGTGAGTAACTGGACTATGAAGGTTCTGACCTCATCAGTGCATTGATCCACTTGTGGGTTCCCACAACTTGGTGGGTTGTGGGGAGATGATGGAGACTTTGGAGGTGGGCCCTTGGGGACTGTGTCTTGTCCCTGCCCTGTCCTCCCTGCCTCACTCTCTCTGCCACCACCCACAATGAAGTAAGCTGCTTTGCTCCACGTTCTCTGCCTTGACAATGGCCTCACCACAGGCCCAGGGGGAATGGAGCCAAGGGACAACGGGCTGAAACCTGGGAGACTGGAAGCCAAAATAAATCTTCCTCTAATTTATTTTTCTCAGCAACAGAAAGCTAACAGAAGAAAATCATCAAGGTGAAGGACTAATCTTACTGCATAAAGCAGAAACAAAATGATTCAGACAGCTCTTGAGTATCTTTTAAAAGACATGGTGTTCTAATGAAAAATCATGTGCTTCGGTGATCAAACAACTAAACATTTATTGTAGACATAAGCCTGAGCAAGTTCCTCAAGTGGACTGAATTTCAATTTACTTATCTATAAAATTCAATCATTTAACACGTTAAGTAACAAGCAATATTCCAGTGTTTGACATAAAGTAATGCATAAATCCTTGTCATGATGTAGCTTACACTGTAATAGCAAGAACATGGAGAAATATACAGAAAAAATAAACAAATTTAGGAACATAATCTGTCAGATGAACAATACAGAAAAAAGAATGCAAGAGGAGGATTTAAAAGAATTGTCAGGGAAAACCTCAGTCAAAATGAATACTTAGTCAAAGGAAGTGAGGGAAGAGCCCAGAAGATAGCCAGAGTCCTAAAAGGAAGTAGCAGCAGCAAAGCCCCTGAGGGAGGAACAAGTTTGGCTTGTTGAAGGAACAGTAAGAAAGCCATTGGTGGATGCAGAGTTTCAGAAGGGTACAGGAGTGTAGTGGAAAGTAAGAGCGGAAAAGGCTGAGGTGTATGGGACAGAATCCTGCTGGGCAACTAGGCTGCTGGAAGGGCACTGGTTTGGAAAGCCACTAGAAGATCTGGAACACAGAAAATGCTTTGCCTCACTTATGTAACAGACTTCTGACCTCACAGAATTCTTTTGGAAGGACCAAATACAGTATGAAAGAGTTTTATAAACTGGGAAGTTGTACCAATGTAAAACATTCTGGTTATATCCCAAACTTTGTGTTTTTGTTTGTTCTTTTACATCAGACAGCTCTGCCAAACTCTTCTGCACAAGCACAGTAAATAGGAAGAGCAACTGTCTTAGTTTGAAGGTAGTTCTATTACACTGTATCTAAAAACTCAAGGAATATGGTTTCTGCTTTATGTAAAACCACGAAATATTATATTTCAACCTAAAATGAACAATGTAAAAAACAATCTCACCACTAATCCACGGACCATTGAGTCCCAAAATGATATGCTTTTAATGAGTGTTTTACTGTGCCTGCTCAGGCTGAAAGGAGGAGGCAAAAATGTTAGGTAAGAGATTCTCTTGTTACTACACTCACTTAGTCAAATTTCTTAATTACCAGCATACATAATATGTACACAGGTCAAATTTGCATTATGGAATGATACTAAAGTACGATGCGCATGCTAAACTACTGAACTAGATAAATGTCTCTTCTGATACTAAACGGCTCATCATACATACCCTTCTTAGAAGTAATCACAGCAACTGAGGGCCCTGTTAACTTGAAAGGAGAAAGTGAACTGATTCTAGAAATGGAGACTTAAGTTATCTCTCCCATTAATCTGGTTTAGGCTGTCTTCTCTGTCATTTTGATTTTATTTTGTCCTTTCATCTAATGTGTGGCTATCACTATTGTAATATGAAACTAAATAATGTTTTCATCATTAATTTCTACCCAAAACTCCACGGCCAGGTTACTAGGTGACTGGACACTGCCATCCAATGTCTTGCTGGCTACAAATAACCCCACTTACTCCTCCCAAAACTTCTGCATTTGTGCATGAACTTATCCATCTTAATCCACACTGTGGGCTGTGTAATTATCTCCATCCGATGTTTGGAAGTAAACACTCCAAAATTATACATTTGGTAAGAAAGGTAACCTGCTTTAGCGCCTTGGCATTTCAGATCCAGAAACAGCACACATAAAATCCCTCTTGGTCGGCCAATAGTGCCTTAGTGCCTTACTTAGCTCTCCACCTAAACCCAATAGATAGAAAACGGAATTCACGCTCTACCTCCCTCCTCTCTCTCACTGTCCTACTTCCAGGGAAAAACAATGAATTTCAGTCACTTGGCTTCCCACAGGTAGCCAGTTCCTGGGGTGGACTGGCAGGCTTCCGTCAAATCTCACTGAGCACAGGCCACAGAGAATGGCCCAAGGAAAGTAAAGCGACCCCAGAAAACGCGGGGCTGTGTCGGGTGCTATCCCGCACCCTCCCCGGGGGAAACGAGATCTCGGCCCTCGGTACCCCGGAAGAAGCTCTCGCAGTCCTTTCCCGCCCTCCCGCATCGCCCCCCTCCACACAGCGCCCCCAACCTCCTGGCTGGAGGCTGCCAGTCCCCAGTCTCCTAAGTAGCACCGCAGCCTTTACCTGCTCCTCAGCTTCCGCCATGGTGCTGCAGGGGAATCACGTGACAGACCCGGAAGCAGGAGAAGCCAGGAGCTGGCCCGAGGCCTGCTGGGAAATGTAGTTTTAGCCGCACCTACTCTGTCTTGGAGCGGTTCTGAGGTACAATTCTCCTAACTGTCCAGACTTAACGGAGTCCATTGCTAATGCTATGGTTTATTTTATTGTTCCAGTTTCTGTGGTTATTTGGATATTTTTAAAGCACTTAGTATATACATGAGTTGCAGGGTGTGTACCTGATCATTAATTATCTCACTTAACCATCCCAGCAGTCCTTCCCATGATCCCCCTCTGTAAGGGACAAGACTGTTGCTGAAAGGTCATGCTAGAGAAAGAGGCCAAACGTAGGTTAGTATTTGGCCTTGTCTGAAAACAAGGACTGTGATCATCACCACTTGATGCTTAGTCTAACTTTGCCGCCTGCTTCCATTTAAATATATATGAAGTGAATATAGTCATCTTTACAGTGGAAAGCCACTATAAAGGATGATTTATACTACAACAAATATTTAACATCTATGCTTGCTCCTTTAAGTTGACATCTTCTAGAAGGTGAACACTGAAATAGTTTTTGAAAAATTGAATGTTTTTAGTCTCTATTATTTATATATTTGTTATACTGTTTTAGATGGCTTCTATAGGCAGATATGTAAGATAGAATTTAAATTGATCTTGGTAAAATCTGCACAACCACTATATTACTTCCATCCTCTCTATGTTGCTGGACATTCTGAATTTTACCATTCCTCCAGAATCTGCAGTATCTTGCCCAAAGAGAGGCATTTCCTGCTTTCCATTCACTGATAAGCTAATAAGTAGCAGAAGGTAGCATAAATGGCAGTCTGTGATAGATGTCTCAGTGCCCTCTTGGACTCTCTCGGCCTCGCCGATACTAACCTAATAGCACAGACTCAGCACTCTACTTCCCTGAGTCTCTAGCTACCATTCACTCAACCTGTGATTCCTCAGTGGCTCAGAAGCCAGAATGGTGTCATCTCTTAGACATTCATCTTCCCCTTAGTTTTAAATATCCCTTCACCCTTCTGGGGTCTCTCTTCCAGGATGCTAATCATCTAGCCACAAGAGAGTGAAGTTAGACTACCCCGAAGGCATTTGAATAGTCATAGCCAAGGACCTGGACCCCTAAGTGTCAACCTGTTCCACCCAAGAATTTCTCAGATCTGTCGTAAAGCAGACCAAGACAAAACTATTCATGAAGGACTCTAAATTCTAGAAAGACTTTTGTACAGACCAAAGAATTTATGAAACTCCTCAGTCCAATATCCACAGAAATCAGAAATAAGCTAAGCTCTTTTACTTTTCTGACTTTTTTTGCAAAACATCATTTTTTTCTTTTTCCCTGGCGAGCTAGATCTACCTAGAAACTTGTAGGACACAGCCTCTTCAAATTGACACTCTCCTCTGCTTTGGTGAAAAATAGATGTGACCAAGATAAGAAAGGAAAATGAAAAATTATTACTACTGTCTTCCACACAGGGTGCTCTTGATTTACTGCTCAATTTTGTTTTGGTGAGAAGTCAGGCAGAACCTCCAAAGACAGAATGATTAAATTCTGGTAAAATTGCTGCTGGAATCCAGAACAAGGTTTTGTTTTTTTTCTCTCTGAGTTCTGTTTTTCTTTCCAACAGTCACTGTGTGGACCCATAAAATTTTGAAGACTTCACAACCTAGGGGAGTTCTGGCTTCTATCTCTCCTTCTAGGCTGGCAATCTTCCTCCTAATCTTACCTGGTTTCTTAGGACACCTGAGCTTTATCTTCTCTCAGGTCACTGCTGCCTGGACCTCTGATGATGGTAGAATTAGGGGTAGGGATCAGTTGAAAGCTTTCATTGAAGGGGTCTCCTGAGAATCCAAATCTGTCCCTTGTAAGGACCACTACTCTCTGATTTCATTGTTGAATGTGCTACCTTTTCTACTTTGACAGCAAGAGCTCCCTCAGTTTGTATGCTGGATGAATAGTCTCAACAAATTCTCCAAGGCAGACATCCTTTTCATCTGCCACAGGTTCTGCTCTGAGAGAACTCCTGGTAGAGAAGGATTCAGTAGCATCCGAAGCAAGCAAAACCGAAGGCCAGACATTCCCCATGGACTTTCCTGCATTCCTACTTTTCTAGAGTGAAGAATGTTCAACCTCTTTCTTTTTCTCAAATCCAGTATCATGTACTTGATTGAAAAGGCAACCAAACATTCCTACAAATTCTCCTCCCTTCCTCAACCTCAGAGAGCCAAGATTTTCCAAGTCTGTTTCTAGTTCAGTGTACTGTCTTGATTATAATAAAATATGATGAATATTGGCTCTATTGCTGCTTCCCTTTGCACATACTGGAAAGGTGAAATGACATGAGTACAGAAAGCTGAAGCCTACTATGAGCTAGAAGATTCATACTGGGTAAAATGGCAAGAAGCTTCAAGTTTTCTCACGTTATGAAAGTTTGAGACTCCCTTAACTAGGAAGGGTTTGTATTGGTCAGCGCTCTTATGTCTTCTCCCTAGATTGCTACCCTCCCTGATAGCCAATGACAAAATATTTAGTCTTAGATCCTTTTTAGTTAGGTGATGCTTTATAAATTCTTAATCTTTAGTTCCTGTTTCTCCCTAGATTTCTACCTTCCCTGATAGCCAGTGACAAGCAGAATTATATCTACTGACTTTAAGCAATAATCTTAGCCTTTCTTTAAGTAACTTTCTCTCCCAAACAGCTAAAATAATATTTATATTATCATTAACAATGTTGGCAAGCCTAAGCTTATTTGCAGTTTAGTTTCTCAAAATGTGTATGGGCTGCAACTTGTTACCTTCTAATATTTTAAATGTCATGTTAAGATATATTGGAATAAGCTTATAGGAAACTTCTCTCAGTATGTTTGTCAGTTTTTCATCACTGTAAAAAAATGCTGAGATAATTAACTTATAAAAAGAAAAGGTTTATTCTGGCTCACAGTTTTGGTGGTTCCAGTTCATGCTAAGTTGGCCTCATTACCTTGGGGTCTGTGGCCAGGCTGCACATCATAGCAGAGGAGAAAAGAAAAAGGGTCAGAGTCCCAGTGGTCCTTCAGCGGCATTCTCCAGTAACCTAAGCCCTCCCACCAGCCCTACCCCTGAAAGGTTCTATCACCTCTCAATAGTGTCATGCCAGGGGCTGGCCCTTTAACATCTGGGTTGGAGGGGACAGCACTCAAGATCAAAACCATGATACTGACCAAACATGTTAGATTATTTTAAAGAACAATTTTTGAATTAGAAAAACAATGCGTGTTCATGATATATGATTAGGAAATGTAAATTTCAAAAGGCATTGACAATTCCTCCATTCAGGTAATCTTTGGTGGATATATTTCTTTCTTTTTCTCCTCCGTCTTTCTCCCTTCCTACTCCTTCTTTTTTCTTTTCCCTCCATTTCTCTTCCTCCTTTTCTTCCTCTTTCTCCCCCTCCTTTTCTTCCTATTCTCCTCCCACTTTCCTTCTTCTCCTTCTCCTTTTTCTCATTCCTTTCTCCTTCCTCTAAGTTTTTTCAACAAAAATCATATCAAATTTTGTCAGGCTTTTCTCACTTAGTCAAATATCAAATCTTACTATACTATTTTAGTTGTATATATTATAATTCATCTATGAAAAATAGGTAATTTATATATTCATTCTTTTTGGTGTATGCTTCAAGTATATCTAACATTACTGTCATCCACCTTATAAATATTTCCTTAAAATATGTTGAAATGGGATTGCTTGGCCATCAGAGCCTTCAAAGTTGTCATAAATGTTCATTTGTACTTTTAATGAAATTTCTATTAAATACTGTGATGTAGTGATATCGAATAACTGAGAAAATCATTTACTCACTTGTTGGATTTCTGTTATATATCTCACTAGCACATACTTCAGAGACCATCAGTCTGAGCATCACTACTTACCTGCAACCCACTTACTCAACATCTTCCACATTTTTGACAAAGAAGCACAAAACTAATTTTTTAACTCAATACATGAATTCAGACTGTTCAGAATCCAGTTGTTTAGCTGTGTTAAGAAAATGTATTATTTCATAACCTTTCATTTTTCAATCAAAATTTTGAAACAAAATACTTAAACATATCCTGCATTAGTTCCAAATATCATCTGTGAAACATGGTCCATTTTTCAGCAAGAGTCCACTTTCAAGGTGTATTTATAGAAGAGTCTTTTCTCTTTCAAATACTTTGAGTCCTTCAACTATGAAAACACAAAAAAACTGAAAAAGAAGAGAAAAGGAAAGTAAAACAAAGGGCTTTCTGCACTAAGCAAAACAAAAAGCCCCAATATGTCCCAAATTTTAACATAACAATTGTGTTCATTAATGAAAATTTATGATGGATTTCTGGCCCTGTAAAAATTCTGCCATGTCATGATGGTGATTGTCCAACATGGTCTGGAGCCCAAAAGAACAGTGTGCCATTCCAAGACCTATTTCAGCCTCCTTCTTCCCTCACTCTAACCTCAACTTCCTCTTTTCTTTTCTCACACCCACCAACCCTTCCCTAATCAGCATTTGTTGTGACACCCTGACTGCCCATGTAAACTCCACCCCTATCGCAGCTCAATAAATTCTTTGTCTCCCAGCTTTCCCTTCAGAGGGTTCTTCCATTCTCCTGCAGCCTTCCCACGCCCACAGTAAAGGCTTCTTTTATCTCTGTCCTGTCTCTCATTTGCACCAGAAGAAAAACCTTACAATTAATATTCACCTTTTATCTTTTGAACCCTCTACCTCAGACTGAGCTACATTGGCAGCCCTTTTTTTTTTTTTTTTGAGACATCTTGCTAAGTTGCGAACTTACCAGCTTGGGCTCAAACTTGTGATCCTCCTGCCTCGGTCACCAAGGGAACTGACAGTGGAGGTTTGATTAACATTCAGTTTTTATATAAACACTAATATAAATGCTTCTTAGCCAAGAAGCTATTCAATCCATCATAGAATTGAATCTATATATGATAGGAAAATGCATAAAATATTACTTTTGAAATAAAA